CGCAATAACACATGAATAACACGCAATAACACATGAATAACACAGGAGAGAATATTCCCCGTGTTACTGCGCCGTTTTTTTTGCTCTACCGCGCGAGATGTCGTGGCGTGTTTTGATTGGCTACACACGTTATTTTTACGTGCGTAGTACTGATGTAAAATTTCTTCTTTAGCTTGAGGTTTGAATGCGCTAACAATATTACGTTCGTCCGGAAGCAGAGCTGAGTCAGTCCAATGAAATGAAATGAGTTCGTCCAACTAGTCAAATCAGCTCGAATTCTCGGCCCCACCTCAAATAAAATTTAAAATATGCATTTTGTCATGCAAAACCGACCCGGATCTAGCCCGATGAAACACCGATCCAGACAAAAAGTACTTTTATGACATATTTCGGCATTTTGTTCTTTTGCGGCCGGTTTTCAGTGGCTTCAAGCGTTTTTCTTCGCTTACTCTTCGGAGGTTTTGCTTCCTCTTCGGCGTAAAAACTAGGGTTTCTTCGACGATTTCTCTTTCTTCACATCTCTTCGTAAAGTCGGTTTCGACTTCTTCCAACTTTACGCAAAGTCGGTTTCGCTTCCTCTTCGGCGCAAGAACTCGTGTTTATAATTTAGAGCATTGTGTCGTTCGGAATCACATGATTCAAAGTTTTGGTTTACCTTTCCTCTTGGTATAACACAACAATGTAAGGTCGCAAGGGAATTGAAGAAGCTAGCAGTCTGTCAAAGTCTTCAAGGTATTATGTTACATTGATTATTATAAATAAAAAGATAATTTTTCCTTATGTTATAGTTGTGTTATTGTTGTGTTATAGTTGTGTTATTATTATGTTATTGTTGTGTTATTATTGTGTTAATATTGTGTTATTATAGTATAGTTGCGTCATAGTTATGTTATAGATGTGTTATTGTTGTGTTATTGTTGTATTATAGATGTGTTATGGTTGTGTTATTGTGTTATAGTTGTGTTATAGATGTGTAATGGTTGTGTTATGGTTGTGTTACTTGTGTTATTACCTTATTAACACCGCAATAGCAACAATAATACAACAATAACACAACAATAACACAATAATAACCAACAATAACACAATAACTACACAACAACAACACATTGATGACACAAAATACAACAAGCATACAACATGAACACAACCATAACACATCTATAACACAACTATTAGACAAAAACACAACAATAACTTTGGAATAATGTGAAAAGAAGTGATTGAAGAAAAATGTCTACAAAATAATGCCCCCTTTTACATTATTGTTATTGTAGGTTTATGAACGCAAAGAATTTCAATTGCATATGTCATCCTTCTACAGTAAGGGATGCACTTGATATTGTTATACACAACGTCTCCGAGGATATCATGAACTTGTTACGAGAAATAAATGTCATTCAATTTTTTGATATGCCTTCTTATATTGACCTTTTATACCTTGAGATTTTGGAATTATGAAAGAAGAGTGTTTGTAATAGGTGGGACTGTGTAAAACTCCACTCTGACCTTGTTGCATTGTTGTTAGGCATGCTCTACAGAGGAGAAGCAGTTAGTTGGAAGAAAACTTTGTCATCTCGTGTAGATGCGAGAGAAATAAAGAAAGAGTTGACAAAGTTTTTAGGAGAGCCTTCCACTTCTTTTGAGCACTTATTTGTTAAGATTTTACTAACAATTATTTTTTCCTTAAGCAATTTTGGTGTGCCCACATGGCTTTATTCATTTGGGGAGAATATATGGTCTTTCTCTTCTTTTAACTGGTCTGCTGATGGAATCAATCACTTATATACATCAACAGATTTGTTTTTCTTTTAACTATAAGTGCATATTGTAAATATTAAAAAAATTTCCCTGTGACTTTATGTTTTTTGTTTTATTCCAAAAAAATTTCCCTGTGACTTTATGTTTTTTGTTTTTTTCCTTCTGACAAGTTTGTTTGAGATATGTCTAATCCTCAGCTTTAGTTTTATGAGCACACGTTTCTATTTACTCCTACCGCACCCGAGTCTACACCTCGCATGCTGACGTGGCCAACAAGTAATGGGTGGACAACACCACAAATTCATGAAGCTTTTAAGAGGCCTGGGCATGTACAGGTAAGTCATTTATTGCATCAAAAGATTTTATGTTATGTTTTATTTAGGTTGTTTTACTAAGTTTGTTTTGGACATTATGATTTTCATTATAAGTTAATGACATTTTTTTAAACTTAAAAGATGATGAGCTCCAATTGCTCTCCAATCCAGACCAGAGATAGCTTAGCCCGGCTAGGACACTCTCACGCTATGAAACTCAGGTCGGACCATCGTCGCCCAAATCCTATGGCGTGGGTCAAATTGTTTTAAGAGATGTCACCCAGAAGCAATATATACAAGGGAAAAAAATGAATTTGAAGTAATAAGTGAGCTGCTTAAACCTCAGGAAAAAATAAGTATAAGTATACAAAAATCAATGATTAGCATGAATAAACAATTATCTATTGTAGAAGACACATTGTCTAACCTAACAGCTATGGTTCAGGGATTAGAAGAAACCAAAGCTGATAAAGAGGTTCAGAGAAAGACTTCAGAAATAGACCAGCCATCTCTCCGAAGGGTAAGACCAACGATAGTAGAAGGAAGAAGAAGTTGGGTTTCCCTGAAAGACAATACCTGTCAAAGACAACAAAGAGAGTTACTGATGTTGTTGATGAACATACTGAAAAAGATGATGTGGATATTGAGGAGAAAATTAGTAAGAATTTATTTTATACATACCAAAGATGCAGAAGAACTTGAAGCCCAAAAGGGTCAACATACAATAAGAGATGCACAAGACGATGTTGTTACTAGGGATGTACAATACAAGAAGAGTCTGCTGAAGTTGAACAAGTGGTAAAGGATCTTCTTGAGTCTTTGTCCCATACGGTAAGTAGCTCATTCTTTTATGTACCCTATCATTTAAATTGATGTTATATTTAATAACTATTATTCTTTTGTAGACTTGTCTTCCGTCTTCTTTTGTAGATACTGAAGCCCGAGAGAGCTAAGAACTAATAAAAATGCACAAGCCAATGTTGTAACTAGGGATGAGAAACTACAAAAAGATCCTGACCAAGTCGAACGACCAATACATGATGTTCTTGAGCCTCTGTCCCTTATAGTAAAAAGCTCATTATATTTTTTTTACCCTGTTGTTTAACCTGATAATATGGTTAATAACTTTTGTTCTTTTGTGGACTAATGTTGTTGCATCTATTGTAGATATTGAAGCCCAAGAAGGCTAACAATCAGAAATAAATTTAGAAATAACATTGATTGGAGATCAACCAATAATGAAACCAAATGTATAGTCTTTTGACTTGGAAAAAGCTTCTGATGAAGTTGAGCTAAATAAACAATTTATTCGTGAAACTATTGCAATGACAATCTCAAATTTAGAAAGCCTATAAACATCCCTAGCCAGAGCCACAACTCCCATGCAGACGTCTATGCAATAATGGTACAAAAAATTAGCTCATTCTAGTGTGAACCACATCTTAAATTTTCATGTTGTACTTTATAGGTATTATTTTCTTTTTTAGCTTCGTCCCGTGGCATCTGTCATTGAATTTCCTAGTAGATCATTGGTACCAGTGAAGATGCAGGATGTAATTGATGACTGCACTACGAGAAATACTGGGGAGGAAGTAAATGCTCACAATAGTTTTAATGTTATGCAGTAGTTTTATATTCAATTGTCACAAGTTTTCTTTGTTAACGATATAGACATGATAGTATTGTTAACAAAGGTTATAGGATTGTAATCGACCGCGCGGGCCTGGAGGATGTATTGTTGAACCGATGGTTTACAAATGTACATGTCGACGTTTTTGCTAACATATTGCATGAAAGAACTCGTGTCACCTGATTTATACAGACCATATATCTATGTAATGCCGCAATATTTGGTAATTACACAAGTTTAATTTATCCATATAGATTTTACTCATATCTTCATTATACACTCAATTCAAAGTTTCATTTTATGTAGATGCATCGGAAATTTAATAGGGCAGCTTTCTTGCAACATATCACAAAGGAAACTGTTAAGAATGTTGATATCATATTATTTCTTATCTTGATAATCAACATTGAACTTTGTTGATGGGAGAGCTAAAATTAAGAAAATGGAGATTATACGACTCTCTACCCAACAAGATGCATAAGGATGTTTCTTCCGAAGTTGTAAGTATATTTAACAAATTTATTATTATTTTTGCATTGTTGGAATCAATACCATCAGTAACACACCAATAACAATACACCAATAACACTCTAATAACACAACAATAATACACTAATAATACATCAATAACACACCAATAAAACACCAATAACAAACCATAACCGCACTAATACCACACTAATACCATTCCAATACCACACCAATACCAAACCAATAAAAACACACCAATAACACAACCATAACACACCAATAACACACTAATAACATAACAATAACACGCAATTACCATACCAATGCCACACAAACAATAACACAACAAAAACACACCAGAAATACAATCAAACAATAACACAACAAAAACACACCAGAAATACAATAATAACACACCAATAACACAACAATAACACACCAATAACATACTAACAATACACACCAACAACAACACACTAATAACACACAAATAACACATTTATAACACTCTAGTAACACTGTCATAACACAACCATTACACCCAAAAACATAGAAAAAACACAATACCACAAAAATTGTGTTAACACAACAATCTTAGCAATAAATTAAGAATAACACATCAATAAACTTTGCAGGTAAAATTGTTTACAAAAGATGTTGCCCATGCTTTCAAAGTCAAACCTGAGAAATGGTCACTTACACTTATTAAGGGTGTACCTGCTCAAAATAATAGCTTTTACTATGGCATGTTTGTTTGCAAATACATGGAAACATTAATACAGGGTCAAGAGGTCGATTAGAGCGAGAATCTGAATTGGCAAGCAGATATGAAAAGATTTAGAACTAAATTTGCCTACTCTATTTTGATCTTGTTCAAGATTAAATATTAAACAATTGTTCAGTCCCTTTAGCATTTGACAGATTGTATGTTTGAGAACTTAATACATTACAATTTTTACAGTTTTTTAAATACATGTATATACATTCAATTTGTCCCTTTAGAATTTGATATATTTGCAAATATAATGCAATCTATGCAATAATTTAGCA